TAAGGACACGGGATATACTACAATAGATCAATTTACTGGTCGCAGTAGTATTAGGTCCCTAACAGAGGAAGTTGAAGTACGTCAAATTTAAGTTGAATAACAGCAACCGGAAGAGTATAATTCAGCGATGCAGAATTTTAAACAATAACTGGTGACAGTAAAACATTCCCCTCATTTTCAAGTGCAGCCTACACAACGTAGACGCAAGTGCGTGATTTATGTCGGTGGTTATTTGGATGTTATTTTAGTGCCATAATTGAGTAATATTTTTGGAATGCGATCTTAAGCTTCAGTGCAATATACAAATTTTAATACTTCCGACGTCATGGGAGCCCACATCTACCTGGAGCTTTTTCTAAAAATCTCCTTTTCCTTGTCTCTACTGCTGCCACTGCTTGTAATTAGAAAGGTAGGCAATGAATTTAGAAGAACTAGTTAGAGTTGTGTTAAGCTTAAGTAAGGTTTGTTAAATCTTTAGATCAGCTAACTTATTGAGGTTGGATTATGGGGATACAATTCGCTTCATGCACTACTAATCAAGTGTATATTCAGCCTGATGTTAATCAACTTTGTACACCTTAAATCAACCAATAATTAGTTTCTGTTCTTACTGTTCAGCTTGAATTGTTACTTGGGATATGCCACCGAGTTCTTTACATCACAAACTCTCTAAACATAAAAAAAAAACTATCATATTGCACTAAAGTACCTCATTTATAGATGCGATTACCCTACCAGTATCATCCTGAGAAAAAATAAATCCCTAATTTCACCGAAAATCACGATTCGCAGTTTTGGGCAATCGAGTTCAATTTCCTGGGAAACAGCTAATAAAAATGACACGCTGAATATACATTTAACCTAAAGATAGCCGACACCAGGAAACCATTTCTGGCTGACCGACTCTGTCGAGAAATAAACATCGAGGAAAAGTCAGCTGAAATTTCTCAGGAAGTCGGCAGACACTTCCGGGCAAGTGAGCAGGACTTCTACCAGAAGAAATCTTAAGAATCTTCCGGTGGTAATACAACAGAAACTTTTAGCACAAGTCTGGAAAAAAATTCCAATTGATGTCGATAAAACTACAGAAGGAAGCCACTTCTAGTCACATAAAAATCAGTATGAATTTCATTGTTTTGCCCTATGAAAAATAATGTTGACAAAAAAATAATAAAATGCAGCAGACTGGAACCGAACCATGAACGCTGAGGTTACGGGCCCCGTGTGTTAACCACTAGTCTTTTAACGAAATGAAATGGTTAAAGGCCTATAAGAGCTACCTGTTGTTAGACGAAAATCATTCATAAGTCACGCTTATGAAATTCATATGTGTCGTTCATTTGCCGGTTCCAGTCTGCTCCGATTTATTATTTTTTCGTCAACATTATTTTTCATAAGGCAAATCAATGAAATTCACACTCATTTCTTATGGATAAAATTCATAAGTGTTTCTTATGGAATTCTTACGTTTTTTTGCCTGCGTGTATGAAATTCTTAGTTTATTCTTGCCTCAGTTTCTTTACTTCCCTTCCGGTGATGAGGAAGCTTATTGTGTTCGCGAGCCCTCCGTTTAGGCTGGACTCATTGATTTAAAACTTTAAGTTTTTTTTCAGCTCTTCGACATTTTTAGATTAATATTATAATGATTCACTATTTTCAGCCTTCGTTCAGGAAAATATAAAAAACATTGGAATGCATGATATCCATTGCATAAAAACTGTTAACTGTCCAAATAACCTCGATTTTTTCTAACTATTGATGCATTATGAAAGATTATCAATATTTTTAAAAGCATTCCATATTGCGTTAAGAAATTCCATGGTGCATAATAAAGTGTTTGTTTCAATTCCAATAAAATATCAGAAGTTGAAATCAGTTGAATGTATTGAGGTTAACTGAAATTGAGCTTATTTGTATTTTGTAATACTTGTCTATTTTACATTCTTTTATATATTGCATGACTAGTAAATTACTTTTATTTCACATGTTTAAAATCTCATTATATCATTATAACTAAAAATTTCATTTCTAGAAAATAGTTGTCCTGCAGATCCTGAAGGACCAGAAGGTGTATCAAACAGCTTATCATTGTTATTTACCTTTTATTTTATTATAATATAATATGAATTTGGCCGGTTGCTGTTGGTGCAGCTTCACTTGGTTATTTGGCTGAGATCATTATTTTTTATTTATTTATACAGTAACCCCTCCCTATGGTTCAAATAAAAATTCAGCTTATCGTTTACCAAAACGAACCTTGCTGCAAACCCTACCCTCTTACCCAACATCCCAGTGACTCCTCGTCGAAGTGCAGAGGATTTCTCGGCTTCCATCAAAGCGAGTGTTACGTCAACACATTCCTACCCATTCCTTTCCTGACCTGCGTTCAGGCGCGGCTGGCGCTGGTATTGCCTAATTTGAGATCACCAGTTTTTACACATTGAGGATGATTGCTAGTCCCAAGCATCGTCTATTGGTTCTCTGTGTAATTACAGCTGATCTGGCAATAACAGAGTAGCAACCGTGGGCGGTCAATCATGCTCATGCTCAGTGGCTTTACTTCCCTTCCGAACACTGAGGCAAATAGACCTAAGAATTTCATAAGCCTCGACTTATGAACAACATTTATGAAATTCATAAGCGCGACTTATGAATGATTTTCAGGTAGCATGAGGTTGTTCTTATACGCCTTTAACCATTTCATTTTCACAAGCGTTGAAAGACAAGTGGTCAACATACGGGCCCCTTAACCTCAACGTCCATTTGCCGGTTCCAGTCTGCTCCGATTTATTATTTTTTCGTCAACATTATTTTTCATAAGGCAAATCAATGAAATTTACACTCATTTCTTATGGCTAAAATTCACAAATGTTTCTTATAGAATTTGTACGTTCTTTTGCCTGTGTGAAGGTAGGCGTGATCAGAGATTTTATGTCTCAGAAAATCCCGGCGGCGCCAACTAGGATCGAACCCAGACCCTTTGGCACCGCTATAATTTCAGCTCATGCCAGTGTGGCCACCGTGGAACGTCTCCTCCTGGGAACATCGTCCTTTGGAGCAAACACTACCAGGAAACATATAATATCAAGAGAAAATTTTCATTACGTCGAAAGTAACAAAGGTAAACAAAGTCGAACTATCAGTGTCAATCGATGCTCCTGTTCTTACACTATATACACACTTAGAAATAACTAATTTTACACGTGACGGAATCCGTCTTTGTCATAAAGAATAAGACGTAAACAAACATGTCATGTACAATTGAGTGCTCCGAGACTGAAAAGTTCGTAACTCGACGAAAAGTACGTTTGATTTAGCTGAATCTCGCGTCTATTATGGCTCAAATTTATGTCAAAATTGACGCTCGTTTATGTCAGTCTCAGAGCATCTAAATTTACACGAATTTTTCTAAGTGTGTACTGTCCAAATATAGGATCACATCCCAATTTTAATTTTATTTACTAGTCAAACTGCGTTTTGACGTAATCATGTTTCTATGCCGTTTGTCTTAAGGAGAAGCTCACCGGCCCAAAAATAAAAAAAAATATTTTCGGTACGTTTTTATTTTTCTAAAAATATTGGGAAAAATTATCAAAAATCCAAGAAAATCAGTTTCTTCCTTAGATTTTTGTCAAAAATGACATGCAAAAATTTTTTTTCTATCCCATCATGAAAAAAAATTGAACTCTCAGAAAAACCGAAAAGTTGATGTTTTGTGGTTTTTTGAGTCCAACTTTATGCCATAATGACTTATAAAACATGTTTTTGCACGTGAATTTTCTTTTAAAAATTAAGAAAAATGTGATTTTTTTAGATTTTTGATACTTTTTTTCAATATTTTTAGAAAAATCAAAACGTATTTTTTTTTTCGGAGCGGTCTGCTTCCCCTTAAGTAACAGCGTAGAGAAACCCGTGAAAAGTGTACGTTCGTCTCATTATTAAAGTGAATAAATCGAACTGTTTGTTGCAAAGATGATTTCAGCCGTCCTCAAATGATGAATGGGCTGCACGTAAGGAGACGTGATTGATAATTCTACCAAATATCTTAGTAAACACACTTTTACTTAAGTAACCTTAGGGAGCCACCAAACGACGTATAATAACTTTTTACTCAAAAACCAGTATTTTGTAGCATGAAAGTTAGTGATCTGCTTTGTATCATTAAAACTCATGCTATCACTATGAGACTATATGTGTTTAATTGCAAATAGGAATAACTTTTCGGTCATCAGAACAAAACATTATTTTTCTCGGATCGGTGCGAATGTTACTGAAAATTTACTCTTAACTATAATGTTTGTCTTAGACGGATAATGTCAGCTCATACAATGGACAAGCAATTTTTTCTAGAATGTATATTTTCGTACAAAACCATCATGAGATGATTTTCCACCCACAGTACATTTGGGGGAATACGTTTTGTTAAAAAAAATATGTTAATATAAAAATTACAAAATAATTTAAAAAATCTTCCGTCGGCCTCATAACAGAATCTGTTTAAACTGTCTGAAACATAAGAAATTCTTAGTGCTTAATCTTGAAGTTGATCCACCACAATTTCTCATATGGGGTGATCAATTGATTACTCTTGTATATCATGACACGTTCGTCCCAACGTACTACTAACGATTTGGTTCTGACACCTCCAGTTCAACTAAATAGCATGTGCCTCCATAGAACGAAACATTTTACTGAGTGCCGAAATATACCTAACAATATCACTTTCCCTCAACTCCAGTGATCAGTGAGCAACATAAACGTTTAACTCTTTCTCACTTCTCACCATCTCGGAGAGAATAATTTATTTCTCTCCAAACTCTCTCACCTGCCCCAGAAGAGAACCTTCCATCCCAAACAGATAAAAACAAAAACATCTTCTGCAGCCTACTACCCACACAAACGCGTTCAAAACGTTACGAGCACTGACTGACGTCTCGAACCGGGTGCATTTAATCGATATTCCTGCATTCATAATTAAAGTGCAACCATGCCAAACTTACCTTCCGCTTGGGAGTAGAAGCTCAAGAAAGCCACCAGATAGACGCCGCACATTGCCCGCAGTATCAAATTCCTCACCAGCGGTGGGTGATGGCTCTCCTCCGGTTCCGAACCGTGGCCTTCGCCTTTTCGACCGACCCCGGTATCACTTGCACCTGACGTCGTTTTCATCTCGAGTTGGAGCTTTCGCTTCACGCACTCACTCACTTCGATGCACAGACGTCTATGGCTTCGGTCTTCTGTACACCACTCTGCGTCGATTTTATTCTGCTAAAGTCTCAACAAATTTACACTACACAATTTTTGTTTTTAAAATACGGAAATTTCCTGTTGCAGCGTTCACGCGTTCACAGGCAACTCAAGTGAAAACAAAATAACAAAAACACACTCGCTCTCTGTTTGAAATTGTGTTCTCGATTGCTAGGTGAGCTAGAGCTAGAGAGAGGACTGATAGAGGAGACGATAAAGCAGCTGGCTGTTTCTCACTATCCGAGGTGAAACGATAATTATGAAGTTCTTCTTGTATTCTAAAAATGCAAATTGAAATCTTTTTGGGACACAACACTCAACACGTCCAAACTCAATCGAAACAGAATTATGAATGTGCCATCGGTGTCCGCTAGAAGCGATTTGGTCGACTTCTGCCGTTTCCGGAACGGTGAGCATGAATCCTGTTCCAAGGAAATCGGAGATTTACGCGTTCACATCTGCACATCAAACACACTTGTAGGTAATCTGATCCTCACGGTGAGTAATAGAAAACAAACAAGTACCTCTTTTCATCGTCGTACTGAACCGGGACAATATGTAGGAGCAAGTTCAGTTCGGAATGCACCATTGTACTAAAGTTGTGTCAGACGGCAGGAGTATATTATTCTCCCAGGTGTATTAGCACGCGCATATATCGATGGCCTATATGAAGAAAGTTACGAAACAATAATCTCAGCACACCCAGGCGTCGTTATCTAATCGGGGCAATGATACTCACCTAGCCACACGGTATAACCGTCATGGTTTAGTGGTTCGATAACTCCCCGGATAAAAATAATCATAAAATTATAATAAAATACAATATATTCTATTTTTGACCATTAACACCATTAACCATCAACAACATTGAAATTGTATTGTTTTGGTCAAATGATCAAATTTTCACAACAATAAATAAACATCAAAAGTTGTTGTACTAAGATTTAATTTGGTAGAGAAAAAATTGATTTTTATGGTTACGGTAACTAAAAACCCCCCAATTGCTAATATCGCATTTACAATATATTCTGGGTTCAATCCCAGTCGGCGCCAGTCCGCTTCCTTCGGAAGGGAAGTAAAGCCGTTGGTCCCCGGTTCACGAGTTGATTGGTCGATAGGTAGGGTCCAGGTGTGAACTGCCTCCCTGGCGTCAGTAGCATTGGTGCTCAGCATGGAAAACAAGATCAACGGAAAACAAATCAAGGTAAAAAAAGTTCTGTGATAAATTTTTATTCGGGTCCTGAATGGTTGTAAGCGAAACGATAGAACATACAATGAAATGCAATAGAAAGTTGATTCTGTTGCTGCCTCCGAAGCCTTACAAATTCGGAGCCTATGGAATAAATTTTTTTTGCCATTTTAGGCATTTGTTGTTGTTTACGACCTTAGCTGAAATGTTTGGGTTCTAATCTCTATTAACAAACACACACCAATTCAGTTTTCCATCCACTGCATACCATACCAAACAAGCACGTAACCTACATTGCGCTTGGGATATTTTCCATCGTCCAACAGATGATGATGAACCTACCAACTTCCAGGGTACAACAGTGCACAATGTCCCATTATTGTAGGCAAACTTTGCCGTTTTCCTCGGAAAACAATCTCCAGCCAATTCCAACGGTGGTGGTAAAAGTTAAATTGACTTTAAGATGATTGAATTAAAGTTTCGCAATTGCTTTGAACGGGTTTCACTTGCACGCTGCATGCGGCTGAAAGGAATTGCACATATTATTTTACCACCCAAAATTTCACTAAAATGCTTTCTGTAAAACAAAGAACTGCGTCAATGCCAGTTCAAATAATGGACGCAGTCGTTAGCCCCACCCAAACAAAAAACAACGTACTAGAGAGTTAATGAGATTAAATTTATAACCCAAGTAACCAATCAGCCAACTAATTCGCCTTTTTGCAATCCATCTGCAACATGCCATCTACAAGACTCTCTGACTTCCTTCCACGTAATTCCTAAAAATCTAGCCGAGCTTTCATGAACTTCTACTTAATTCCTTGCTCTACAAAGAAGTTTTGGGAAGTTCTAGCTTTTCAATTTGATTCACAAGTGATCGCTGAACTACTCAAAATTCCAAAGCTTTCTATTAAGCTTTCCAAAATTTTAAGAAGTTTGTTTATTTTCTGTTCCATGATGTTCTATAAAAACAAAATAGAAATTCTATGCAATTCCCTAAACAATTACAATTATTTTTTTATGAAGTACTAAAGACAGGTGACTTCCCTGGGCATAGAGTTTCATTGTGTTTACCACACAATATACAAATTCATGCATTGGTATTGGTATCGAAAGCTCTCAATTAATGACTGGGGACGTGCATTTGGAACACTAAGTTGAGAGTCCGCAATGAGCTAATATGCGATAAGCAATTATCTTTAAATGCGAAGAATAAGAGAAAGGTCCCGGAATTTTAATAGAGTTTTTTTTTTCTGAAATCAAACACTGTTTTATTTACTTCATTGAAGTTTCCCAAACTTATACATTTTCCTCACTTTTACGAAAGTTTCCAACATTTCCGTTGATACTGAATCCATACCCATTCAAACCCCACCCAAATTCGAAATGCACCAGTACCAACAAGCATTGCAAATTAGAAAAAATGGGAAGTATTGAAATTTTGAACATATTAGTAAACACATTATTGTATAATTATAATAATTCTACTACTGAAATGACAACTTCAATTCCAAGTCCAGGGTAGTCCTACTAATGCTCAAGGAAGTCTTGCCGGGAAGGCCTGCCGAGCTTCAGCAAAGTCCTGATGAAGGTCAGGGAAGCCCTGCCGAAAGTCCTGCCGAAGTTCAAGAAAGTACTTCCGAAGTTCAGGGAAGCCTTGCCAAAGTTCAGGGAAGTCTTGTTGAAGTTCAGGGAAGTTCTGCGGAAATTCAGAGAAGTTCTGTTCAAGTTCAGGGAAGTTCTGCCAATGTTCAGCGCAGTTTTTCCGAACTAAATGGAAGTCCTACCAATGTTCAGAGAACTCCTGCCGAAGTTCAAAGAAGTTCTACTGAAGTTCAGGGAAGTCCTGCTGAAGTTCAGAGAAGTCCTGCCGAAGTTCAGAGAAGTTCTGCCGAAGTTCAGGGAAGTTCTGCCGAAGTTCAGGGAAGGGCTGCTGAAGTTCAGGGAAGTCCTTTCATTTCAATTCTTGGAAATCAGGAAAGTCCTGATGAAGTTCAGGGAACTCATACCGAAGTTCAGGGAAGGCCTGCCGTAGTTCAGGGAAGGCCTGTCAAAGTTCAGGAAACTCCAGCTGAAGCTCAGCGAAGTCCTACCGAAGTTCAGAGAATTTCTGCCGAAGTTCAGGGAAGTTCTGCCGAAGTTCGTGGAATTATCTAATTATCTTTAAAAAATACCATAATATATATCAACATACCTTCATCAAAAAGGCTGAAATTTTCAAATAATATCATGAAATACTTGTGAAACAACTTGTGAAAATCGAGGATCATATTTTTTTCCTTGATTTGTTTTCCGTCGATCTTGTTTTCTGTGCTGAGCACCAATGCTTCCGACGCCAGGGAGACAGCTCCCACACCTGGACCCTACCTATTGACCCATCAACTCATGAGAAAAGGACCAACGGCTTTACTCAACTAACATTTTCAGCTTTATAAGCCAATTTTTCCAGCATTGTGCTGTAAAGTAGCTGAAAAAAGGCTGCAGATACAGCTACAAGCAGAAGCTAGCAAAATAGTTTTGAAGAGCGTTTACTCAACTTTTTCACAACCATTATTCAATTTGTCAGTCACACTGAATAATAGCAGCCAATAAATGCTAATGTCACTTCTATACTAATATTAATCAACGTTCAACTGGTAGCTGCAAAACAAAGCTAATAAAGTGAATATCCCAACTAACAATTTTCACAACGTAAACGCTTTACTCATTTCATGTATACAGTCTCAAGCTGTATTTAAACGTTATACGATATGAAGAAACCTTTACTCAACCTCTATACAAGCAAATCTGGCGAACTTACTCAGCTATTTATGGCTGTTGGAACGGTTGGGAGAAGCTCTTATTGCATGCATACCCATATTAACGCTTCAATACAGCTGTTATCATGCTGTTTAGTTGTGTGTGAACTTGAAAGGCGCTTATTCAACCTTTTCCCGGTTATCCAATAATCACTACACAGCTTTGTCTTGAAACCGGGTTAAATACTGTTTACGCTTTTTTATGAAGGAATTTATTGAGTTTATTTTGCTTTGAATCAAATTAATCGAAATTAGTTACAAATCATCACCAAATTATTTACCCTGCACTGGAGGAACCTGGAATCGAACTCGAGACGACCTCATTGGCAAACCTTGACACTACCAACTGTGCTACGCCAACACTTTGAACTTGTGTTCACAAATCAACATTCCCTTCTACAACAAATTCACCGAGTAGAGGCTTTATAATAGTGCACATGAATCACTTTTCTCGACTAGTTATAAAAGAGCAGAGTAAAAGCTGTAAAACTACACACGTCTAAAAATAAACCTAGTTGACTGTGAAAATGCTTCCTAAGTTGCTCTAACACAGTTTAGAAGGTTGAGTAACCGCCTTTCAAGTTCACACACAACTTAACAGCAGGATAACAGCTGTATAGTAGCGTTAATGGATATGCAATAAGAGCTTGTCCCCAACCGTCCAAACAGCCTCAAGTAGCTGACTAAGTTCGCCAGATTTGCTTGTATATAGGTTGAGTTAAGGCTTCCTCATATCGTATAACATTTGAATACAGCTTGAGGCTGTATAATTGAAATGAGTAAAGCGTTTACATTACGAAAATTGTTAGTTGGGTACTTCCCTTCAGAGATGTTATGCCTCAGAACATCCCGGTGGCGTCAACTGGGATAGAACCCAGGCCTGCTGGGGTGAAAAATGATCACACTTACCACTACACAACCGGCGCCACCCACGATCAATTTGATTTAAACAATATTTTATTTAGCGATGGCAAAGGTGGGTGATTTCATAAATAGTAAAATTTATCTAATTATCTTTAAAAATATCCGGATATATCAGAATACCTTCATCTGAATTTTTTACAAAATATACTCAAATACTTGTGATACAACTTGATAAATTTGAAGATCAAATTGTTTTAAAAAATATTTTATTGATCCATGGCAAAGGTGGTTGATTTCTACAATATTTGAATATTTGATATCTAATTATCTTTAAAAATACCAAGATATAACAGAAAACATTCATCAAATAATCTAAAATTTTCGCAGAATATCCTTAAATACTTGTGAAACAACATGTGAAACAACCTTTCACACCTTTTGACCTTTTGAGTTGAAAAATATTTCAATTAGCGATGACAAAGGTGGGTGATTTCTAAAATAGTTCAATTTATCTATGAACAAAAAAATCCAGATATATCAGAAAACCTCCATCAAATAAGCTGAAACGTTCACAGAGTATCCTTCAATAAGCTTAAACATACACACACGTGATTTGTTTTTATTATATCACAAATTCACGC